CAGACAAACTCTGTCAGTTTAAATCTAGATTAAAGACCCATCTCTTTAATCTGGCTTACACATAACACACTAACACATTTCTAATATTCAAATCCGTTAAAGGATTTTTAGGCTGCATTACAGTTTTTCTGAATTGCTAAAACACATTTCTTTAAATCATCAATCATTTTCTCAAAACCTTAAACACAAATCCAAATACTCAAACTAAATTCACGAAACCCGAGAAAAGACTATTCTGTTTGAGAAGTGGTGTGCAGCAAGTAAAATCAGCACATTTGAGCAACTTAAGGAGTTAATCCTCGTAGAGGAGTTTAAGAATTGCGTGTCTGAAAAGGTAGTAGTTAATTTGAATGAGCAAAAAGTGACATCACTCACCGAAGCTGCTATCTTTGCAGATGAATTCGTGCTTACACACAAAATTGTATTTTCTCCTTTACGTTCTTCCCGTCGTGTCACTGAACGTAATCACAATCCTAAAACTGTGATTGGCCAGAATGATGAGCAGGGTCCGGATTCTCGTGAGAGTGTTTACTGTCGTGAGAAGGGTCATTTGATTGCTGTATGTCCTGCGTTACAACGTAAGAACCAGAGGAAAGCACAGAACGCACATAAAAGTGTTGCTTTTGTGCATACCCACTCTTTAGAGTCTATGCTTGCGATTGATCCCACATTTGAACCATTTGTGTGTGATGGTACAGTCTCCTTTTCTGAATTAAGACACCGAGCATAAACATTTTGAGAGATACGGGTGCAGCACAGTCGTTCATCTTGACAGATGTACTTCCTTTTTCAACACAGTCCAGCTGTGGTTCAGATGTCCTAGTTCAAGGAATTGAACTTGGGGTAGTTAGGGTTCCACTCCACGAGATTTATTTGCGTTCTCATCTTATGACTGGGTTAGTTAAAATAGCCGTACAATCTCAGTTGCCACTGAAGGGCATTTCTCTCATCCTTGGTAATGATTTAGCCGAAAGTAAGGTGTCTTGTCTTCCTGAAGTAGTTGATATACCATGTGTATCAGAAAGTAATGCGCTATTGACTCAGGAGTTGCAAGAACAATTTCTTTCTCAAAGTCACTCAGTTACAAAACAGAATGTGTTAGACCATGCGAGTTATTACCATGAAAGATTGCATTCTGTCTGGAAGCTGGCACAGCAGAGCTTAGAAAGTTCACAGTCTCAAATGAAAAGCAGATATGATAAACACACTGTTCAACGTTCATTTGAGCCTGATGATGAAGTTCTTGTGTTACTGCCTTTGCCTGGGTCAACTCTCCAAGCTAAATTTGAAGGTCCATATGTGATTGAGGAAAAGTTAAGTGACACCGACTATGTGGTAAAAACCCCTGACCGGAAAAGGAAAGAGAGGGTATGTCATATTAACATGCTAAAATTGTATGTTTCTCGTCCTAAGCTTGAATGCACAGTTCCATCTCCTGTTATTGTATCTGTGAGAGAGTAGAGTAGAGTAGAGGAGAGTAGAGGAGAGGAGAGAGAGTTGTTGGGTTTTGGCTGTGTGTTCCCTTAGTTGAACTTTGATTGTTTAGAGTGAGGATTGTTTGATCTTTGAAAGAGATACGAATTTTGTAAGTAGGAACTGTTCGGTTTTTGACCCCATTGCTTGTTATGACGTGGATTTGGATTCTCCTTTTTAACGCTGTTTGCCTGATCTTGTAAATAGTTTTATATCATTGTAAATATAGAGGGTTGGGAGAAAGTAAGGAGTTTGACGCCATTTTGTTTATTGTAACCTTTTTGATCTCTGTTTTTGGTTAGGGAGTTAGGTTCGTATATTGTACTTTTTCATTTTATTTTATTTTGGTTAGGGTTTAGGAAAGAAGTCTTAAAATAAAGAAGTTTTGTTTATTATTTTGGCCTGGTCAACTCCTGAAGGAAATTCCCTATTTATTTCTTTTGATGATTGTATTGTTTTTTTGTGTGTGTGTGTGGTTTCATTAAAAACCCTCAAAAGAATCCCCGCTTCCTCTCTCTCTTTTCATGTTGCATCCTTTACCCCTAGACGGGGTGTAACATCTAACTCTTCCATCAAAATCAAACAATCACTGCAAAACCATTTCACCTGTACTCAAAATCAAACGGTGCTCTCAGATCACACACACATGAGTCAATAAAATAAACACTACAGAGCATTAACTAGACACTACACTGAAAAATGGAGAACACTGCATCCAGAACATTACAGAAAAAAGTATATTGTATTAATACTTTAACAATTTTGCAATTCTGTAAAAAAGTATAGTAATTGCAACTGAGTAAGGTGAATATGTACTGCAAGAATATTATTCCCAGTCCAAAAAGGTCAAATAAAAATTCTAAATGAATAGCATGTTACAGTACACTAAAATACTGTAAGTTGTGCAAGTGTAAAATCAGGGTCGAGGAGAGATTCATTCTGTCTTAGCACCATGTCTTTGTGCTTGAGTCCGGCCTGAGGACTTTGTCCACATCACAAGTAATGTTGTCTTTTTTGCTAGACAAAGAGAAAAAACCCTCTGGTCTGACAGATCCAGCCTTGATAACACTCTCTATACCTTACTCTTTCTCTCCACACCCTCTTCCTCCTCATCCTCCACTTCTTACATGTACTCTTCCTCCTCTCCATCTCATATTGTTTCCATCTTGTTCGTATCATCATTCAGTCACCTGTGCCAGACACTATTTAAACTGAACTGAGCTGGATGATGACATCACTGAATTCAATGATGAACTGCCTTTAACTGAACATTGAATGTTTACGGTTATCATTTTGCATTATTGACACAATATTTTCCTAATTAATGCTGTACAGTTGCTTTGACACAATCTGTATTGTTAAAAGAGCTATATAAATAAAAGTGACTTGACTTGACTTGACTTAAAGTGAAATGTGAAAATCGATACATTAAATTTAGATGCCATCAAAAATATTTTTTTTTTTTTTTTTTTTTTTTTTTGTAGCATTGAGCATCAATTATGTTGAACATATGAATGTAGAGGCATTTAGATTAGATGAGAGTGAAGAAGAAATCCACTGAAAACACAGGAGTCACTGACTGAATTCTGCACTCTTGTGGATTCTCTCATCATAAACAATGACTATTTGATGATTATTTCAAAGGAGCTGTTTATTCTCTTTAGCTAGGTGTGGATACTGAAGGCATTATGACGGACTGGGGCATCCCCTTCATCTCCTGGTGGATGGTAGAACTGTGTAGGGCAGGGTATTGATACAGACCTCATGATTATATTCTGATTCAATTTCAACTCTCAGTTTGATTCATCTCTGATCTTGTATGAGTATCAGTTCATTTGGAAATATTTCAAGTACAATTTTCAACTCGTGCTGTAAACTATACATCAGGGGTATAGCCAACCCTGCTACGGGAGGGTTACCTTCCTTCCATTTTAACAAATGTAACAAAAAAAACAAAAAAACTTAACAAAACTCATTCAACTTTGCTGAATGGGAAGAATGCTACAAATACTGTTTAGTGGCTCTTTTTACTCAAACATTAACTGAAAAAGCACTAGACTACAATATTGACCTTGGCATTTATTAATCAGTATCGAGATTGTTCAAATAAAGATTTAAATTAATTAAAAATATTTCTACCCAGCTCTAGAAATAAGTAAGCCCCTTCAGGTGGAACAGCTCCAGATCTCGATTTACCTCCCCAAATTAAAATGCTTGATGAATGCTTCAGCCAGATGCTCAAGTGTATGGGCACAACTGGGACAAGTTTCCATACATGGAATTCACTTTCGAATTCAAGACTTGCTTCAAGCCTCCAAATGCTTCACAGTATTTTAATTTCTGTTCAGGTGACAACCCAGGACTATTGGACAATAGGCTCATCTCAAACTAACCCACAGACAGGGAGGTGTGGGGATAACAGCCAATCTCTTAACTACTCTGAGCAAAGAGGGTAGACACCTTCCAGTTCTCTAATGACTGCAGGAGATTAAACAACATTTCCATGTTCAACAGCTACCCCATGCCTCAGATGGACAGTCTGATAGAGCCACTGGGGATGGCCCACTGTGTCTTGATGCCTGAGTTTAATAGGGGATACTGGCAAATCCCCCTATCCCCTAAGGTTTCCCAACCCTGTTCCTTGAGGCATAGCAACAGTATACATTTTTGGATGTTTCCCACACCTAACCCATCCATTCAAGAGTTAGAAAATGTGTACTGTTGGTGTGCCTCCAGGAACAAGGTTGGGAAGCACTCCCCTAATATATGGGAAAAGATTGCCTTCGGCATCCCATCCAACCATTTGCAGTAATGGGTGAAACAGATAGAGACAGAAGAGAGAGGTGAAATAATCCAACCATTTTAAAATATGACAAAAATAATAACACTCACTGTAGTTTCTCCAGGTTACAGTGTGGATCCTTTAGTAGATCAGAGAGCAACATAACTCCGGAGACTCCTGGTTTATTCCAGCTCACATCCAGTTCTCTCAGGTGTGAGGGGTTTAGTCTCAGAGCTGAAACAAGAGCATCAAAACCCTCCTCTCCAATGCTGCAGTTGTACAGCCTGCAGAGAAATACAGAAAAAAACACTTCTCATACTTACACAGTTATGTTAAAAGCATATGAATGAGGTGTCCAGTAAGCAGTGAGTGTTGGATTGCAATAATAAAAAAAGAAAGATAAACAACCAGTGCAGGATAGAAAATATCTAACAAAGAAAAATCTAAATGTAAAACAAGACCTTCTACCTCTGATTATCTTAGTCTACAGGTCATTACTGCAGTGTAATTTATAGTATGTTATTTCCACTTATAGTTGTTATTAACTACTGATTGCATTGAATATACACAGTACTTACTTTAATGTCTTGAGTTCACAGTGAGAGTTTTTTAGTTCTGCAGAGAGCAGCTTGATTCCTGAATTCTGTAGGTTATTATGACTCAGGTTCAGCACTCTCAAATTTCTAAGAGATTTGGCCAGAGCTGAACAGCTTCTCCATGTAAGAAAACAGCCACTCAGACTAAGAAAGCATAATAACAACTGTATGTTAACTTGCATTGTTCAACTTCATATTAAAGTAACAATACAGTTTTATAAATAATTTAATCAATAAACACATGCTGTAGTGTAAATTAAACATTGAAACATGAAATATTCTGGATTCAATATTTATTATTTCTAGTGTTTTGTTCAAATACATTAAATAGTTAAGCAATGTAAATGCTCACTTTGCTTTTCTGCATACTTTGACCACTGGCAGCAGCCTCAGAAGACCTTCTTCTGATTGATGATATTTACTTAGTTCAAAGTCAGTAAGCTCCTCGTCTGAGTTCAGTAACACAAACACCAAAGCTGACCACTGATCAGGAGAGAGCTTAGCATCAGCGAGACGATCAACACGAGTTCCTTTCAGGTATGTTTGGACTTCATGCTGTAGAAAATGATCATTCAGTTCATTCAGACAGTGAAACAGATTGATGGATTTTTCTGGGGAGGGATTCTCCCTGATCTTCTCCTTGATGTACTCAATTATTTCCAAACTGCTATGAGTCGTGTTTCTTGTCTGTGTCAACAGACTTGGCAAAAGACTCTGATTGGACTGCAGTGAGAGACCCAGAAGAAACTGAAGATAAAGATCCATGTGTCCATTCTCACTCTGTAAAGCCTTGTCCACTTCCTTTTTTTGAAAATCGGTTATTTCTGACTTATGTTTCTTATTTGAAACAAAGGAGAGAAACCTGAACAAAGCAGCAAAAAACTCCTGAATGCTCAGATGCACAAAGCTGTACAATTTTCCCAGACACAGGCCAATCTCCTCTCTGAAGATCTGGGTAAAAACTCCCGAGTACACTGACACTTCTTTGGCATCAATGCCACATTGTCTCAGGTCCTCCTCATAGAAAATTAGGTTGCCTGTTTCCAGTTGTTCAAAAGCCAATTTGCCCAGTGAAAAAATTGTTTTTCTGGCCTGCTGAAGATCAACCTCACTTCTATCATCATACTTCTGGGTCTTCATTTTGGTCTGAAAGATCAGGAAGTGTGTGAACATTTGAGTGAGAGTTTTGGGGATCTCTGCACTCTCTGCTTCATGCAACATTCTCTCTAGAACAGTGGCTGAAATCCAGCAAAAGACTGGTATGTGACACATGATGTACAGGCTTCTTGATGATTTGATATGTGTGATAATTCTGTTGGCTAGACTCTGGTCATTGATCTTCTTCCTGAAATATATTTCTTTCTGAGCATCACTGAATCCTCGTACCACTGTGACCCGATCAACACACTCAGGAGGGATCTGACTGGCTGCTGCTGGTCGAGAGGTTATCCATATAAGAGCAGAAGGAAGCAGCTTTCCTTTGATGAGGTTGGTCAGCAGCACATCCACTAAAGCAGAGTGTGTGACATCAGACAACATCTGATTAGTTTGGAAATTTAAAGGAAGTTGACACTCATCAAGCCCGTCAAAGATAAACATAACTTTGTAATCATCAAGGTCTGATGATCTCAGTTCCTTTATATCTGAGAAAAATCGATGGAGAAGCTCCATTAGACTTTTATTTTCCTCCTTCATAAAATTCAGCTCCCTGAAAGGAAGTGCAAATATGAGGTGGACGTCCTGGTTTGCTTTTCCCTCAGCCCAGTCCAGAATGAACTTCTGTACAGACACTGTTTTTCCTATGCCAGCAACTCCTTTTGTCAGCACACTTCTGATGGGTTTGTATTGTCCAGGTGAGGGTTTAAAGATATCATTGCATTTAATTGGTATTTCCTGCTTCTCTAGCCTTCGGGACATCTCAATCTGTCTCACCTCATGTTCATTATTGACCTCTCCACTGTCTCCCTGCGTGATGAAGAGCTCTGTATAGATCTCATTCAAAAGTGTTAAGTTCCCTTGATATGATATTCCGTCATTTAGCAACTGGAATTTCTCTCCCAGTCTGGATTTGTGTTTTTGTGGAGACACAGGAACAAGATCTGATGAAAACAACAGAAACTTAAGTAAAATAGAGTACTTATTACCATGCTTTATATTCAGAGTGACCTACAATGAAAGGTCCCTATACATTTTGACAATCTGCAGGTTTCCTGCGAATTGAACGCATGACCTTGGCCGTTTTAGCATCATACTCTACCAGTCAGACTACCAAATTACTGACTATGAGCTAACTGTGATGTTGGATTTGGGGTTTGTTTCGTGTCTTTTAATTTGTAGTTTTGTACCTGGGTTTGTCATGTGGCTCTCTGTTCCCTCATATGATCATGCCATGTTCAGCTTGATGCAGCACTGTGCAGACCAATGACCAATTGACATCAAATTATCGCAAAAGCGATTAGAAGAGAGCAGACAGCTATGAAAGCTTGCGAATCGCTCTCTCTGTACTTTGATGTCATACACCGATCGGTCTGCACAGTGCCACCTCAAGTCGAAAAAAACACATCTTCTCTTGCTTTATGTGTTAGGCCGGTTTCACACTGCAAGCATGAGCGGCGCATGAGCAGCGCATATTTTTTTCAGTGTGCATGTTAACAAATGAGTGCATTCACACCGGGAGCAGGAGCAGCAATGCTTGAGCGTCAAGCAGGCATGTCGCGTGAGCAGCACTGAAGCAATGGATTCGGCACCGAGTCTATTTTTGCATCCAGTGTGAATACTCTCGCGAGTCTGCAGCTGCAGCGAAGATGAAGTTACCCTGACATGAAGCTGATGCGAAGCTCAAGCTTGTGGTGTTATGCAGGCTTTATGTTTATGGTTGATCTTGTCATGTGGTTTCTGTGTTGTCTTTCCATTGCTTCATTGTTTGATTACCCTTAGGTGTTCCTTATTATGTCATTAGTCCATGTGTATATATAGTCCTCATGTTTCCTTTGTGCCTTTGCCTAGCTTTGATGTTATAACCCGCTTATGGTGAGTCTAGTCAGGTCAAGTAACTCGTTTGGTTCTGTTTAGTTTGTGTTGGTTTAATTTATTGTTCCATAAAACTGCACTTGGATGCAGTCTAACTTGCCTACGGTGGATTTTGTTAGACCTGCTTCTGAGGAGTATTCCAGAAAGCAGGTTATTCGACTTGGAAAGTTTGGGTAAGTTTACTCTGAGTAAGTGGATAACCTCAATTTTTGGTTCCAAAAAGCTTTTGGTTAATCAACTCGCAGTTCAGTGTTTGTGAAACCTTACTCTCTGGAATTCTCCCCTGACAAAATGTCTTTAACTTCTAATCCGCTCCTCCTTTCCTCCATTGACTAAATCACCCTACACACTAAAAAATGCTGGGTTAAATACAACCCAGTGCTGGGTAAAATTGTCCCTATTTTACCCAGCACTGGGTTGTATTTAACCCAGCATTTTTTAGTGTATGCTGTCTGTAAATTGGTTTAATACAGGTTGCCATCACTTGGGAGGTTCTATTATTTAAAAGGTCCAAGCTCTTACTTTTCTGTAGCGTAGTAGTGAGGTCCATTTGATTCAACTTTCTCTGAACAAGCAATGTGATGTTCGGAAACCCATGTTTGAATTTTCTCTGGCCTTCATCCTCTTCCTCCATGCTGAGTTTCCTGGTAAAATATATACAGTATGCACACAACAACCTTACCATTGATGAATATGCATATTTCTAAATAGTGTAAACAAGGGAGTCACTAGACGCTTCTCAATTCAACTGCCCTAGAATAACTTTGAACTTAACAGTGCTTCAGAATCTCAACTGCCAACTCGTCATTTATTGTGCATTGTTAAAAATACATAAAATGCATACAAAGGTGTAAGAAAGTGATCTTGGTGAAGAATAACTTTTTACAGAATAGTAGTGACAAAGTATATGTAGTACCTTGGGTTCAACGGAGTCAGACTGAACCCCGAACATCCTAAGCTCAATCATTTTATACTGTATTACGTTCATCTTCCTGCTCAATATGTAAATTAAGTTTCGTTTTAAATGTAAATTGCGGATGACAATGAAAGTGATAGCCTTCCGTTCCCACATCTTCGGTAGACTCAAGTGGGAACAACCAAATGTTAAGGTGATAAGATTAAACTGAATCCATAGCAGTTATTTCATGTACCCTTTTGGTCAGCAGATGGTTCTTGACGACCTGCTGCTTCTCCCACGCTATAAGTGACAAATTATCGCTCCGGAGGTACTATTTACATATGATTTAATCGGAAAGAACCATCTATATGATAATTAAGCTCTTTGTAGAGAAAGGAGCATAGTTTAATACACAATTTGGAGTGGAAGCTGGGTCGAGGCAGACTATAATTTCTTATAAGGCATAAGCTAAAGTTGGTGAGAACAAAATCATTGTAAACATGGACATGGAACAAAGTTCTGTGGAAGTAGTCATATTCAAAATGAAGCTTGTGGGAGCAGACAGGAGCACAGCAGTGAACAGAAATCTTCCTTGAGAGCTCATTGGTGCATGTAAACTTTGCAAATGTATATTTACACAGTATTTGCATTTAAAAGACCCTATAAAACCAAAATTACACTTTTTATTTATTTGTTTATATATATATATATATATATATATTTATATATATTATGTGTGTTTGTATATATGTGTGTGTATATATGAAAAAAAACATTGAGAACCAATCCACCATGAAACTGTCCTCACCTCAGATCAGCAGAAAAGTCTCCTGAACTGAAGTTGATTATATCATCTATTGACTGGTCACTCTTCATGGAAACCCAGCTGGGTTCAGGACATTCTTTCTGATTTAGACTAAAACACAGAAGCAGTTAAACCGTATTTCATTATGCACAAACTTTCAAAGCTCTGAGGTAAACACTAATTTCGTCATTGTCACTCCTTTTATCAGTATAACTATGTTCACTTTTAGTATAGTTGCAGTACAGACATAGATATAACATAGAATTAAACTATTTGTGTACTCAAAGTTTACTACTGTTATACTTAAAGTATACTTTTATACACTAGTAAGTGGGCCAATTTAGTCCCATAGACTATTGAAATAGTACACTAGTATGTTGTTGTTTTGTTTTTTTTGTTGTTTTTTTTGATAACGGAAACCTTGATCTCACGTACCTGTGGTTTTTTTTTTTTTTTTTTTTTTTATTTCTTGTTTTTTAATACTAATCAATGGTGGAGGTTATGTACAGTATCGAGCAGTACAAGGCACACTTTCATTAAAAAAAATCATACAAAATTAGCAACATGTAGAATAGATATGGAATGGCAAAATCCCTGCTTGAAAAACCAGGCCATGTGGTCACATGGGTTAACTAGGCTCCCATCAGGCCAGGTGATTATACAGATCTCTTAATTCAGTTTGCTTCAATGTGATTAAGTTTCACAGGCTCACAATTTGTTTTTGTATCTGATTTTATGTGGTTCCAGGTTACTATCAAATAGCCTACATCACAATGGCAAAGAGAAGACCAAATTGCAATTGTTGTTGTTTTGAGGAACCCTGACATACAGTCTCATCTCTTATCCTGGGTCAGTCAAAAAGAGCACTGCTATTCAGATGCTGCATATTAAAAACATTACACAATCCTTTGAATGTTACTCACCTCTTGTCCATTCTTGTGTCATCCTCTCTCTTTCTGGAAGTCATGACATCAGTAATCTGTTGAACATTCCTTTGTCACAACAGTCTGTATAAAAAGTGAAAAAAGTGACGTGTAGCCAAGTATGGTGTCCTATACTCTAAATTTGTGCTCTGCATTTAACCCATCCAAGTGCATACACACACACTTGGAGCAGTGGCAGTCATTTTTGCTGTGGCGCCCGGGGAGCAGTTGGGGGTTCGGTGCCTTGCTCAAGAGTCTCATCTCAGTCATCATATTGAGAGAAGAAAGCACTGGTCATTCACTTCCCCCACGACAATTCCTGCCAGTACCAAGACTAGAATCCACAACCTTTGGGTTACAAGTCTGACTCTCTAACCATTAGGCCACGACTGTATACAGTGGGTACGGAAAGTATTCAGACCCCCTTACATTTTTCACTCTTTGTTATATTGCAGCCATTTGCTAAAATCATTTAAGTTAATTTTTTAAGGGGGTCTGAATACTTTCCGTACCCACTGTATATCACTTATCTCCACACTTCCAGATCAAATTCATTCACTCTGCAGTTTCGTTCTGTTTCTGACAGACCAGATCTAATGGACTGCTTCCAACCTGTCAGTTGACCAAAACATCACCGTTCACTTGGGTTCTACAACACTAATGGCAACAAGTAAGGAAGCTTGATGACCAATTGTATGTATTTATGTACGTTCCATCGCACCATTAATGGTGAGTGAGTAATGCCTAGGGGTTTTTCACAAAGAAGGACAAAGTCGCATTCCAGATACTGCACCCTTTCTTTTCTTGGACAAGCTGCCAATCTCCACCCAATCTGCTGAGATCATCACAACTTTCAGGAAAAGGCTGAAAACACACCCCTTCTGCAACAAATGCTTCATATAATATTTTCTTTTGTATTTCACTTCTGCTCTTGTATACTAGGTCGTACTTAAATTTGACATTGTGTGCTGCAAATATTAAGGCTTTTATCATATAATGTGTATGATATGCATCTGGGAAAAAGCATCTGCAAAATACAGGTGCATCTCAATAAATTTAATTTATTTCAGTAATTCAACTCAAATTGTGAAACTCGTGTATTAAATAAATTCAATGCACACAGACTGAAGTAGTAAATGAATACTAAATTATTAAAAAATAACTACAGTATAAAAATAACTACAGTAATATTTAATTTAACAAAAAGCGAATCAGAGTCCAAAGTTTTACAGGCTTTACTGTAATCTTGACTGTTGGGTTTCCTGCTCTTACTGATAGTGATTTTACAGCTGGGGTAATAAAGTCATCAGGCTGTTTTTCTGCTGGTTGCTAGAGGGTGAGGCAAGTACTTTTTACTGAAAACAGAATCTTCAGGATATTCTCTGATTCCTCTCTCTTCATCACTTTAATAAAGTACAAAATAATAATAATAATAATAAAATGAATCGCTAAATCCTTATAATAATAATAATCCTTATAAGCCTTATGAAGTCTTTCCACTTTTATCGTGATACTATTAAAATACACACAAGCACTTTCTGTTTCAAGAATTCTGTTTTTAAAGAGCAGACAATAATGATCTTATATGTTTTAGATGTAAGCCTTTATAAATATTACTCCTACATTGTTTTGATTTAATTTTTGTACATTCCAAGAACTTTCAATTAAAAATGTATGACCAAATAAACTTTGAATTAGCTGTGTAAACAGAAGTAAATAATTGTATTATGATACTTACTGAGTTTTTCTCTCGGAATGTGGTTTATATTCCTCTCATGAGTAAATGGACTTGACTTGAGCGGTCTAAAGATTTTGAAACAACCATAAAAAAGGGAGGCGCAAAGCTGTATGAGCTCTCAAACAACAAGCTGTTCTTTTCTGACATTACCTTTTGGACAGAATATTTACATAGAAAGTGAATAGTTCACTCGAGTAAATCTTAGCTCACTACACATTAAGGCTAATACTGTGTGTGGCAAAAAAAAAAAAAAAACATTAACTACACTACCCTATGCTTGAGAATACAAAATATACCATTTATTTGTGACAAGTGAGAATCTGTGTTTCTCTCTGAAGGCTGTTACAATTAGACTTTCCCGACAAATACAGTCCAACACCCCTGTAGATTCTCCATCCTGAAAAAAAGCAGTGACTTGACTTGACTTGACTTAATCAGGGGCGGACTGGCCATCTGGAGGTTCTGGAGAAGTCCAGGCCTACTGGTTCATCCTCAAAGAAAAAGTGTGAGATTAAGTGACGCTGACGGCCGACAAAAGGGGGTGCTAATGCAATCTATTTTTGCTTATAAGAAACCAAAACTGACGTGAAGGAGAGTGGGCTTGTGATGGCAAGCAAAAGACTTGAAGATAAAGGAACAGCATGTAGCCTATAGCACTATAGTAAAATCCCAGGTCCCAGTGTCCACTGCTATTTATTACTTCTCATTGTCTGGCATGAATATCCATTCATTTATAAAGAGACAGCAGCGATTCTACAACGGGTTACATTTTAGAGATACTGAGTTAGAAAATAGAGAAAATGAAGTAGCCTATAAGGTGATTAGTCTGATTAACATGACACACACACACAGAGAGAGAGAGAGAGAGAGAGAGACACATATGAATACTCAAATTGAAGAATTCTGTTGTTTCAGGTTTCTAGATTCTACACTCTAAGGTGCCTGTTGGTCTCTACTGGTAATTGGTCATATCATGGCTTTTGTTAAAGCCACTAAATCCTAATGTAATATGTCCCAAAACACACTACAGGAAACCGTCTCATGTTACGTATGTAACCCTAGTTCCTCGAGGGAACGAGACGCTGCGTCGAAAACGCTAGGGGAACGCGTTCTGTGTATTTGTAGTGGGAATCATTCAAATTTCTGTGATGGTTTCTATTGTTTTTGTCAGCAGGGTCACCATGGGTTGTGTGATGTTATTTGCCATAAATGCGATAGGATTGCTGTAATATTGTGAGATAGTACCGACTGTTTGTAGTTGCGGTGGGCCTATTTGGGAGAAAATCCAGGGCTGTTTTTTTACTCCTAGTACGTCCCTGATCACACCAGAGGGTTTTTTCTCCCTGCTGCCTGCCTGCGATGTAGACGAAGTCCTCATATGTATGTATGTATGTATGTATGTATGTATGTGTATATATAGTTTTTGTTTCTCTCCTTTTTGAGAATTATGTGAGAGTTTTTTTTGGTATATTCTCTAAGATATATATATTTTTCAAATTTCCCACGATCAAAGAGAATGCTAATGCGCATGTGTGGAGCAAAAAACACGCCCTGGGGTTCCTGTGCACGCAAGTTATTAAAGGTGTTTCAACTGTACACATGTCCCAAATGTAATCAGTCCACCCTTGATTTTTGGAATCTTATCACGTAACCCAGATTACATTGCTGCTATTTCAACGAGACATTTGATTGTTTCCACCTGTACCATACAGCATTTTTGGCTGAACTGTTCCTTTAAAAACCCGAATGCAGCTGGTAACTCATAAACAGAACGGGTCCCTTTAAATCGTGCGTAGAGTGGAGCAGGTGGGTGTTCCCCTGCGCAACACAGTGCTGCTGGAACCGAGCGCAGTCACTTTTTACGGAAATTTGCGGCTTGTCCTCGACGCTTTAGCGAAATGCTGCAGCTGAATGACAGCGTGGACCCTGAGAGCCCGGGTGCGGCTGTTTTACACCCGGCGGACTGTGATGATGGGCTGGATTTGGCCCGAGCTGGAGCTTCGGTGGCCTGCTGCACCCCGCTACAGACCCTCACGCCTTTCCATGTCCCCAACCCAACCATAGAGCCCGGGTGCGGCTGTTTTACACCCGGCGGACTGTGATGATGGGCTGGATTTATCCCGAGCTGGAGCTTCGGTGGCCTGCTGCACCCCGCTACAGACCCTCACGCCTTTCCATGTCCACAACCCAACCATGCGAGCCAAAGTCAAGGATTATTTCGTCTTCAGGGTGAGTAAGAAGCACAGTATTTGCTACAGAACGCCCGGACTCGATAGTCAAGGTTGTGTATTCTGTGAAAAAATGGTTTGTTTCTTAGTGTGTTTACTAGATGGGGTTGTATGTCAAAACCAAAAGAAGCTCATGGATGAGCATCATAGACGCGTTCATAAAATGAACAAAACGCAAAGACGTTAACATTTAATTGTTTTTTTTTTAAGTTGACGCTTAAGAATGCCTGTTGCTCGAAAATGCGTAGGGAGCTCACCAGGATTTGTGACACGGCCATTGTGCCTAGCGGTCTCTTGTTAGCTGGAATGAAATGCAGTAGCTGTAGTGACCTTGTAACATAATTATGAAACTAACTATAATTAGGAAGCCCAGTTAACAGTTTGAATCACTGATTAATGTGACATGAAGTTGATTGTTTTTGCCAAAAAAGAGGCAAAGACAGTATCAGGCTGTTCAGAATTGAATACCAATGTACTGCGTATTGTGTAGCCTATACTGTATACTGCCTACTACAGTTTTCAAATAGTATGCAGTGATAAACGTTTGAAACAGATTCAAATTCTTTTGCATTTATGGTGCAAATGTTTTCACTTCTGACAGACGCACGTTAAAAAAGTACTTATTGTCTTCATGTTGTATTGCAAAACACTTTTGCTGCTATTGAGGTGGGATTACAGGAAATGTTAGGGACAAATTTTGTGAATTTATAGAAATGAATCCGAGATGACCACTCGAATGGTATGAATGAAACACACCATTTCATTAGACTTGCGTTCTTTTTAGAATGATGATGATGTAAATGTTATAATTCTAATAAATGGTCATTCACTACCTCCACAACCACCTGAAACATTATTACCCATATAGATAAAATGCTTCTTCCTCTAACTTATATTCTGGTTTGTCACTCAAGTCACTTTATATTACAGTGTCTGCTAAATGAATAAATATAAAAGCAAAGAACAGCATGCTATTTTATTTATTTTTGTGTATGTGTGGTTTCAGTCGGTTCAATTTTATCATACACTCTAAAAAATGCTGGGTTAAATATAACCCAGCGCTGGTTTAAAAAGGGACAAACCCAGCTATTGGGTTGTTTTGACCCAGCAGTTGGGTTATGTTTTGGACCCAGGGCTGGGTTTGTTCCTTTTTAACCCAGCGCTGGGTTATATTTAACCCAGCATTTTTTAGAGTGTAAATTTAGAATACATTTAATACATTTGACGCATCACGCTTTCTGCATGTTTGTACACAGGTTTTACACTCCAATCCACATATGATTGTTTGATAAATGAGACCCATGCAGTGATGTACATTGTAAACTATGGGAGTAGTGTGGTATCATGCTTTTGTGTTTGATCTTGAGCTGTTGTCATCCGTTTATGTGGCCTATAGCAGTGGTTCTCAGCCCAGGGGCCGGGGCCCTATAGGGGGCCTCAAGATTTAAAATAAGACAAGAGATGCAGCAATCAGGAAATGTCTTATTTTAATTCACCTCTCAACAACTTTTTTTCTTTTTTTTTTCTATAAAGAACCAGGATTTTCAGTGTCTAGGAATTCCTTAAAATATTAGGGATTGTAATTATAAAGGCGTGTTTTCTTGACCTGAATAGGTCATATAAATTAATAAAATACTAATGGGAAGTTTTATACTTTTTTTTTTTTTATATGCATTTTTCTAGGTATGCCAAAACAATTTACAAGGAAGAAATTGTGAGTGAAAATTATTTTTGAGGAGAATGGAGGCCTTGGAGTCAAAAAGTTGAGAACCACTGGCCTATACGGACTTTAACTACACAGTAGAAATAAGTTGTATCTTTTTTTTTTGACATCCATTTGATGTTGTTTCAAGCATCTAAATTAGGTGCTGTTTTTGCTTTGGTCTCAGCCAGGAACCATAGAGCAGGCAGTCAATGATATCCGCACGGTTGCCTTGCCTTCAGAAGACGGAGAGGTTCTTAGCGTGTGGCTGCTAGCTGAGTGAGTCTATTGCCATTTCTTAACACAATATCACTTTTATTGCATGAATTTCTAAATGAACAGAAGGGCCTTCAGTGGATATTGATTGCAACCTTCACACAAAAACATACCATGGGACTACCATGGCTTTTGGGAAATACTATGCTATTTTTTTTTTCATGTACTTTTGATTTACCTTGGGTTACTATGTAAATACCATGGGATTTAATTGTAGTCGCTGTCAGTAATATGGCATCCATTAAAGTACCGTGATACTAATATGTCATAACATCACTGTACCATGGTACCTCTACAGTATGTTTTGCTGCAGAATTTGACGGATGTCTGTTCAGCCGGCTTCATGTCCTCTTTATATTTGACCACAGAATCGATCACTGGAACAATGAAAAAGAGAGACTGGTTCTTATAACTGAGAGGTAAGAGAGTACTGTAAGTTTTCACTGGAATGGATGTTTAACTGTTAGTATCAGGAAATGGGTTCTGAATGAGCTGCTGGTCTGTTGCAGGTCTTTGTTGGCGTGCAAATATGACTTCATAAACCTCCAGTGTCAGCAGGTCATCAGAATTTCCCTGAACGCTGTGGACACGATCTCAGTCGGCGAGTTTGAGTTTCCCCCAAAATCCCTCAACAAGTAAAACACTTCATTCTCAAGCACAAAATACAATCTGCTGATTGACATTGTCATTAAATGACAAATGTCCCATGGCTTTCTCCACACCGTTATGTTAATTAGAACATTATAATAACAAACTTTAAAAATCGAAACTAGATTTAGGTCGTATTAAACTTTGTTTGTGTGTGTGTGAAGGAGAGAGGGAACCGGTATCCGTGTCCAGTGGGACAAGCAGCCAAAACCTTCGTTCATGAATCGCTGGAACCCCTGGTCCACTGACATACCCTACGCCACCTTCACCAAACACCCCATGGCACACGCCGATGAAAAGGTGGCCTCCCTCTGCCAGGTAACTGTGCTTCCTACTAGTGTTTGAGTCTTATAGATGGTTCTGTATCAATACTGAAACATTTGAAATGATTATCTTCCGCTGTATGGATGCACAGGTACCAGCTGCATTCTCGCTCTCTCTGACAGTGAGCTGACGCACACAGCGGTGTGTGTTTTAATGAAATGCACTGCATGTTTCAGAGTGAAGCGCGACACTGTTTTCTAGAAATGTAAAAATGTGGTTGTTGTCAAACCAGAATTGGGAACATTTATATATCTTTTTACTTTTTGCATCAACCCGCCCAGGGACACAATGAAAATTAGCCATCTTGGCCAAATCTGGCACATTTTATATTGAGTCTGTGTGTTTAATTAATGTGTATTGTCCATGATTGAATAAATAAGTGAATAATGATTGGATGAATGCACACACAGGCACACACGACTTGGTTTACAGAAAAAAACACTCAAAAAAAAAAAAAAAGTCTGAATTTAGACTGCCAGTTACGCTTTTTCACATTCGGCATAATTTCCACAATTTTTTGGGATTTAAAGCTTCTTTGCAGTTTTCCACCAAAATAAAAGCTCAAGAGTTTAACTTTGGCCAAAGAAGAAATTCATAAGTATTGTAATTTTCCTTTTGTAAAGTAAAATTTAACTTATAAAACGGATAGTTCCGGTCCTTGATTCTGATTGGCTGAGCCGCGTTCGAAGCTGTTGTAAAGTATGGTGCGTTCAAGTCATGTCGGATAGATCGTATTTACGAGTTGAACGCACATGAACGCCACCACAAAGTCGTTATTACGAGTGGGAAACTAATTTTCTTTAAGCCCCGAGTTTCCGAGTTGGGGGCGTGTCAGTGAGAAAACGTGTTGGATGCAGTGGACGCATCCAAAGACTAGATATGCAGCATCTGTATTGATGGTAAATTTGTTGAAATTAATAAAATGATTAATTTTTTGTAATGTAAAATAAAACTGTTACATATACAAAATATTATATTATTGTATAATTACCAAAGAACATATAATGATGCAGTTTACATCACCTTCATAAATTTAATAAAAACAGAAAAAAGCAAAAACACAATGACGCACATTCTTTATTCATCATCTTGTAGATGTAAAGTTAAAAAAATCGTTGAATTTTATGGAAAAAAAGTTCAATCGCCATATTGTTCCGACCAAAGTGACTTGAACGCACCTGACGTTGTAATTACGACTTGTCAACTCGTAAGTACGATTGTCCCAGGAGGACTTGAACGCAGCAGTACTCTACAAACATACACCTTTGTCTACTTCTGTGAGTTGCTCGGTAACCACTTTGTTGCAACCACAACTGTTTCTGAGGAACTACATTGTTTGGTGGAAGAATACTGTTTTTATTATTATCATTACACTTTATTTGCTCTGTTTTATTTTGTGAAACCTTACTACGTATATGGAATAACCGTAGCCATGGTTTACAGTGAATTTATAACAGCTAAGGGGGCTTTAGGCACTCCGCGTCACATCGTGCCTAACAACGTCCCTTAGCTGTTATAAATTCACTGTAAACCACGGCTTCACGGGGCTTATTGCTTTAATAATAATTAATAATGCATGAATATGAATAATTAATACATTTTGTATTTTATAGTGTTATTGTATAATAATAATAATTATCTCACTCAGGGAGCTATCATTCCTGAGGAGTCTCAGAGTTGATAAGAAAATACTTTGAATTGGGCCAAATTAAACTAAACTACTGTTATTGTTCAAATTTTATGCTAATGTGGCATGTTTTTGGAAAATGGTATCAAATATCAAAATTTCTTAAGGTGTTTTATAAAAGTTAGAAATTCTAGTATCATGACAAGACAATTTCATACAATAATCAATTTTGAAATCTTGCAACAAAATCCTAAAAAAAAAAAAACAAGATGAAATGCATAAATAACTTTCACAGTTCACAAAAAAGAAAATGCAAGCAAAGTGAACTGCAGGTTCTGCGCTAAAGGAAATCTTTTGAAATCTCGATCTCAGACGCCAAAATCGTGGCTAAAACCTTTCAGTGAGCTCTTCATACTTTGCTGTATACACAGGAAGACAAATAGAAATGAATTCTGCTCACAATTTCAGCTTGAGAATTTCAAGACGCAGCTTGTCCAGGCTGTGAAAAAAGCCCATAAAGACTTCCCCATCCCGGGACGAGCCAATGGCGTGCTGATACTGGAGCGGCCGCTCCTGATCGAGACTTACCTGGGCATCATGTCCTTCATCAACAATGAAGCCAAACTGGGCTACGCCATGACAAGGGGGAAAATCGGCTTTTAACTCCTGAATTCTCCCTCCATTTCTCATCCTCCAGTCAAGTGCTGTTTTTGAGTGATACTGCTACACTTGAGTATGTGAGTCCAGTACTTACTGCTTATTTTGTTGTTTGGATGTAGATAGCGTGTGAAATGTGCCAGGCAGTGAGACGTGTGGTCACTGCAGCAGGATGTGCCTGGATGAAGCCCTCTTCCTCTATTCACATGTGGTAAAAAAAAAAAAAAAGCCTTTCTAATGTGTTCGAATGGTTTGGAGATGCAGTGTGTGTTACTGGCAACGATTTGACCATTGATCACTATCCCTATTAAGTCCCTACAAATGGCATCCCCTTCCAGAAGTGCCCTTTAAGGGCGCAAAAAAGCCATTTGGAATTCACCCTAAAGCTCACAACGCTTGCCCCGCCACCGGGGTCTTCTGATTGGTCCATTGTTTTGGAACTGACATTGATGAGCGGCACTGTGTGTAAAAGTTTAAATTCTTTTAACTTGACACAGCATCTTAAAAACGCGGTGCTCATGTGCGACACGCTGCAAAAGATATTGCATATGTTGCATTCTGAACATTTACTTTGACATATTGGACTTCGGTCAAAGTGGCGATGAAAATCCATCCGGGCAAGCATTTCCCAAAAGCATCGTGAGCTAAATTGATCATAGAGACCGCTGGTGCCAATGGTTCTACGATCTACTTAGGCTTACGATGCTTTTGGGAAACGCAGCCCGGATTTTTTCACCTGTATTTTGATGTAGTGTAAATTCGTTAATCCGAGTGTAATGGATTAACGAAAAAAGAAAAAATATAGGGTGTGAATTTGGTTCTATGCATGGGTTGTTGATTGTATTTTGAGAAGTGGGTGTTTGTGGAGACGGGTTTAAGTGCACTAGATGATCTGAGAAGTCTGCTCACTGGAAGGTTCAGTTATGACATTTTGATTAAACAATACAAGCTCAAAAACAATAAATAAAATAAAAAATAAGAACCATATGCACAGATGAAATATTCACGGCAATGATCTATAACATGCATTTAGAAAATAGATTTCCATTTCATGGCAACTTTAAATACCAGTGGAGTTAAAATGGTGTACTTCATGAAACACAACCAGAACAAATTTTTGTGAATTTTTCAGTTGAATCATGTAAATTTCAATATTTAATTCCATGTTCACAATTGATCGCAAAACAAAAATAACATTTTTTTTATGAACGATTTGCATGAAAGTTTGTTCTGTTTGTTTCATGAATGGGGTCCAATGTGGGCTAAAAAGGTTTTAAAACTGCATGCTTTCTGAACAGCACTACTATTAAATAAAAACTAAGACTTACGTGACGTAAAATGTACTTATTTTCCTCTGCACTGCAGTGCTTTTATAAGGTTTGAAACTCTCTGAATAAAGTTGATTTGGACTGTTACTGAACATAACAATTTAGGTTTTAGTACTCATATTGCTTACATAAATGAAATCTCTTAATAATTTTAGAATTATTTAGATCTAGACCCATGAGACTTTACATTTAATACAATCTGCATCTGTCTTTGCAAAATGAAACCCAAAATAATGTTTTGCATAAAGAAAATGAGCTCAATTCTCAATGTAATGTGAAAAAAAAATCTAATTCTCATTAGTAATGAAAGTTAAAATCAATAGAATCAGCATAATTTAATATTTAAAATCAGCATTATGACTCAGGCAGGATTTATATCCCAAACACTGCTACTAATATAAGGTCAAATTGCAATTTATGCAATGTGTGAAATAATGTTTGTAATAGAACACAGTATTGTCCGCATGATATCTTCAGATATAATGCTGGCTTTAGGCAACACACCAAAAACCATGGTAATATAGACAGGGGACATGTATTCTCAAGTGTGTCCACAGGAAGCACCTGCCTGACATGTATTTTCTCACACTGTTCTTATTTCAAAGTGAATTTCAGGTCTTCTTGTGGCTGCTGTAAACTCATGAAATGTAGCGTACTACTGTTACGTGTGCTTTATGTACAACTCATGTTTGTGTGCTTTATCCATAATTCATGCCTCATTTCTTTAACCTAAAAGACAATGTTTAAGTCCTGCCTAATTTACAGAAAGTTGAAATGAAGTTAACCAAGGCAAACAGTGTGTGTTTGATACTGTTGATTCCTCAGGGGATGTTGGTCAACAGATTGGCTTTTGTTTAAGGATGCACGACACGGCGGGACGTGAACTTGAAGGTTTCCTGCTGTTGAGCGATTACGGGTTCAGAGACTTTGAAGTATTTTTCACGCATATGCTCGTTTGTTGGCCAATTTCTGTTTGTTTCTTTTTTTTTGGCTATACATGGAGAAATAGTTGTAACCTTGTTGAAAGTGTCTGTTTTTTTTTAATACAGGCATCAGTGTTTTTTTTCTATATTTGTTTTAAATGTAATGTAAAGTTGTGCATGATGGTTATGCCTGCAACTTGTTAGATGTATAATTTGTTAGCCATAGCCTCAATTCACCAAAAACAAAATCGAAGCACCTTTTCCTCTTTTCAAAAACACATGTAATTGTTTTTCAAGTAAAATTTTTTATTTTTTTTTAACTCATCCATGTTATTATAGTAAAATATTGTTTGTGTTACGCAAATCAAGCCTAGATCTGAACTCCTCCAGGTTTGTTTAAATTTAATTTTTGAAATCATCTTAAAAATTGTTGCCTGGATTTCATCACACTGATTTATGTAATATAAACATCATGCTTTAAGTAAAATTATGGTTCTTTTAACTTTTTTTTCTCATTTGTTGTGTCTTGTTTTTACAAAATGTTTTACATTGTGAGATTAAGCACAAGTCCACATAAATTGTCATTAATTGGATGCAAAACAATCTTAATTAAATCTAAATGAAAGTATTTATAAATCTTGGTATTTATAGTATTAATTGTATTTAATTCCTTAGTAGTCTATTACAGTAATACTTTTTGTGAATTGTTCTTGACAGGTTCACCTGTAATCTCTGTAGAAGACAGACAAAACCTATGGGAAACATCAATGTAGAAACCTTTATTACAAATAGCGCTAACTTTATAAAAATAAATCTAGTTTTCAAACCTTAAACATTAAGGAAATTGTCATTCACAACCATTCACATTCATCTGAAAAAACAACAAAACCTTCAAAATCACATCAAATCTAAAGTGACATAAATGTGATGTGTTTGTATGATATATTTGGTCCTCCAAAACCGTTATTTAGCTTGTCTAAGGCCATAAGAAGCAGATGTGAGTGAAAGCATCGGCTCATTTGCACTATGCTGGTGCTGGAGAATCACACATGCTATATATCTGTACTTGACAACACAAAACCACATTTCATTCCCTCACAGACTATTATACTCATTATAGCATGTGCTCTATCGAAAATCATTTGTGTCAAGCTGAAACCAAGTTATAAAACCTCACCTGAAAACTACACAGAAGTGTATTTGTAGTACATTTGTAGACAGACACAGTGTTTAGCCTCGAGTTCTTTGGAGAGCAGATCTCACAGGATTGCAGGAACTGCTCCTGTATTGTAGAAGCAGGCTCTGGGGAGTGTGATGAAGAGCTCTGGTTTATTTCTCCTCCTCTGCTTCCATGTAACACAGGCAGATGTGCTCTTTTGAGAGCAGCACCAGTGAGCTGCCACTGCAGTGCCAAAACAGAGACTGCACCTGAAAACTGCCTGTGAGGAAACACAGAAAAAGAAGTTAGATGTTTCCTTTGATGCAAGCAGCTTCCTGTATTGTTTCAGGGGAAATGCTTTTCCTCAATCTGGTTTCAAAACAACTATATGTGACCCTGGAGCACAAAAGCAGTCTTAAGTCGCTGGGGTATATTTGTAGCAATAGCCAAAAATACATTGTATGGGGGTCAAAATTATCCATTTTTCTTTTATGCCAAAAATCATTAGGATATTAAGTAAAGATCATGTTCCATGAAGACATTTTTTAAATTTCCTACTGTAAATATATCAAAACTTAATTTTTGATTAGTAATATGCATTGCTAAGAACTTCATTTGGACAACTTTAAAGGTGATTTTCTCAATATTTTGATTTTTTTGCACCCTCAGATTCCAGATTTTCAAATAGTTGTATCTCGGCCATATATTGTCATATCCTAACAAACCATACACCATTGAATAGCTTATTTATTCAGCTTTCAGATGATGTATAAATCTCAACTACGAAAAATTGACCCTTATGACTGGTTTTGTGGTCCAGGGTCACATAAATGATCTGAAGTTGTAAAAAAGGCTGATAGAATCAAAGCAGTGTCTGTGCATCAATTAAATTGTATATTAATGCAAAAAATTATATTCTTATAGAATAATTTTTGTCTTTATCTTGCTTGATATCAGTTATCAGCCTACAGTGAGACTAATGAATGGTGGAAGAGTTGTTAATGGATGCACTGATCTATTAAAATTCAGCCCAATACAAAAAGCTGATAATAAGCTTTAATGCTAAATGACAGATAATAAAAATGTATAAAATAACTTACTTTTTTTTTTTCAGTACAAATACCTTAAAAAAAAAAAACCTTACAAACTAAAATCAATCATTTGAAATGCAACACGTGAATTCAGGCATCATACAAATGGATATTAATTTCAAGACTTAATATTACATTAAAAAATTATTAAATTAGTGTTTTTTGATTAACTTGACTGAGAATCAGATCTAAATCTAAAAATCACAATCTAAAAATATGGGAAATTAACATGTACAATAATAAATTCAATATAACATATCGACTGATACCAATAAATTAAATATGATATAAATTAAATCAGCCAATAACTGAGATGGTACCAATAGGTTGTGCATTACTAAAATGTATTCATGTAATTATTAATACATTTAAATTCAAAAATCAGTGGAGATTTATCATCATAAGTTTTTCTAACGAATTAGTGAATTAATAACTTGAATGAATGAATAAACTAATAATGAATTAAAGAAGTGCTATAAGTATTGACATACAGTACACTCACATAAAGCGATATATAATATATAAATCTAAACTGGCATTTTTTTTTTTTCATAAAATGTGGCTATATAATTATTTGTTTAAAGTTCTATACAGAAGTATGTCCAGCTTTGTTTGCATACATACAGTATACTCACGTAGGGAAATATATATTACAGCATACCTCAACTGCTCGATTGCTTCTATCGTTGCAAAATGTCAACAATATTATCGTCCAGCTCTAATGTGCTAAATGAGACTATAAGGCATGAAGATATTAAGATTTTTAAAAAACATTGACATGTTTTTCTGTAAAGCTGCTTAGAAACAATCGTGTATTGTGACAAGAGCTATACAAATAAAACAAGTTGATCTAGATGTGATGATGCATGTGAAATATTTTTCCCTTTTTAAATGTTTTTTTAAAATGAGAAACAAAATGATGGCTCGTCTTCACATTTTTGTGAAAGATGCAGTTTCACCAAGAGACAGACTCGTCTTGTATACAATGCTGCTAGTGACATAATGTCCTGTTTGTCATTAATATTCAAGGAAAAACATATACATAAATCTTGTCATAGAGGGAAAAAAATATTTTTAACGCATTGCTTCATGGCCAGTAAAATAATTTTCATAGCAGGAAAATTTAGCCACAACTAGCAGGTGGCATACAGTTCATTTTGACCAGTAACACACAGCCGCTTGTTGCTTTATTATAACACACAGAACTGTATGTGCTGGTCAAGCAATGGAGTAAAAGCTTGTTTGAATGTAATGCTGAGGCATGCACAGTGGTGAAACTGGATCCATACCTTCGACTGGTACATTCACAGACACGCAGCCAGCTGGTGACCACAGATAAACTTTGGTGTTTCCGGTGCAGAGAGCCAGTCGAGGTCTGTGTGGGTCCCAGACAAAGCAGCGCACAGGAGCCGTCTGCTCCAGGACGGCCAGCAGACCGAGTCTCAGCATGTCCCACACCCACAGGCTCTGAGGCATGTTATCTGACAGACGTTAGACACAGCGTCAGTGGAAACCAACAACAACACACGAGCCTATGAGCCACAGTTGTCAGGACCTCTGAATAGGAAGAATAATGCAAGGGACTTTCCTAAGAAGCAAGGACACCAAATGGCTCTGAAAACACGATCCAGGTTGGCACTGGCAGAATGTAATGCTTCTCATAATGCATGGCGATAGAGGTGAACTACACAGCTAGGCGGAGCTGTTCCCACAGTCACTGAAAACGTTTCTGTGCATTGTAAAATTGTGATTTCTGGGGCTGGAAAAGTAATGGAAATCAATTAAATCTTAAGTAAGGGAAGTTAACACTAAAGGCAAAAACCATTGTTTTTTTTCAGGCACCAGTGAATTTCTGTTCTGAAAAATGAATACAAATGAGTGCATATTAAATAGACAATGGCATTTGCATATTTAAACAGCATTTTATAAAACTTGTAATACAAAACAAAAGAATGGTCATACATTAGTGTTTCACCCTATTCACCTGTAGTGTGTCTTGTCTGAATATAAATGTTTGCAGATACTCTCGTCTCTAAAATATTTCACTAGCTAGAGACTGCTCTTTGCGATCTATGAAATCTTTCAAATGTTTAAAATCTTTATCTAGTAATGTAAGTTATGGAAATTCACATTCAGGATTCATGATTGCCTCACCATTCTTTGTAGCAAGGTAGCGATTATCAGCACTGATAGCCAGAGCGGAGATGCCGATTTTCGGGTTGGCTCGGTCTGGATCGGGCTTGATTACTGGCACCTGGGCTGGCAGTTGTGTGATCTCATCTGAAACAAGGCAAGTCTATCTGATTAAAATGTTAAAGCACAATTTTCACAATTTAAATGCATTTCACCACCTATTTCTGGACTAAAGCTTACAGATTATGTGCATTAATGCTAAACCCTGTTTCACACTTTTGTAGCATTTCATTTTTTTACTTGAAATCCACGTACACATGCTTTTAGAAATGGCACTAATAAAGGTTTAGGTGTTGTACTGGCTTAATGCTGATTGGAACTTCAAAATTATTATTATTAAATTATTTAAAAATACACATAATAGGCACTGTATTCACTGTATTTAAATATGTGCTGTTAATAATTATAGTAATGAGACTGTAATGAAAATTACCAAGACATTTCCTTTTTTTTTCTTTTGATTTTGGGTGGAATATATCCTGGGCATCTTTTCATGACATTTAAACATAGCCCCCCAAAAAGGGCTATTTTTGGTATTGTACCAGTGGTAGTTTTTCAGTCCGGTTTACACGAGAGCACCTGGAAATTTGGTTTGGTGCTCACACTGCACATAGCGTGACCCATTATATATAACTATAAAAAATAAAATTATTAATAATAGAAATATTATTATTGCACTTCATTCATTTATTTTTTGAATAAAATAATAAACAAAATAGTGTGACAATATTTATATTATATTGTAAAATAAAAAGTGAGTATCAAATAAAAAACCTATTATTTTATAGT